TTTTTAGAGTTTCATGATGATTAAGAGTAATGGAGGCGATTGGAATTTGGAGTTTCATCTCACGACGGTAGGATTTTTAATTAAGAATAAAACAAAAATTAAAAATTAGAATACTAGATATAAAATTAAGAATAAAATAAAATTATATAATATTTTAAATAATTTGAAAACGGGTCAAAAAATTCAACCCAACCCAACTCATTTATTTAAATGAGTTAGGCAGGTTGACCCATTTATTTAAATGGATTGAAAATCTCAACCCAATCTCCTAATTGTAGATTGGGTACAGAATAAGTTAGCAAATTGAGTCATTTTTTACCACCCCTAAAAAATAAGCATAAATTTGAAAATTCTTAAATAAGTTAACCTTTCAAACTACAGCTGAATCCATTGACACTATCGAATTTAACATCGTTAAATTCTTTTTTTTTTTTTGGTTAAAATTTGAGATATGAAAATATATCAAAGTAGAAGTATTATATAAAAATATATATGAAACTAATTTTAATATATATTCTTCTAAATTTTCACAGAAAAGTCTTTTTATAATATATATATTTGACAACTTTAATATAATATTAATTTTCTTGATAATAATATTTAATTAAAACGTTTTTTTAGTAGTATAAATAAAAAGGTGGCCCCAGTTGCGTCACTTCTATATCGTCACGATGGCGTAAAATTTTGTCATCTAGTTTATTTAAATTAATGGATAAGGTCCTTTTTTTTAACCAGGGACATTTTGGTAATTTTATGTTGATAATGGATTTATTTTTTCTTTTTTTATAACGGATTCGGTCTCTTCATCAACTTCATTTGTATAACGAATTTGGCTTTCTCTCTAATCAATAAAACTTGATTAAAAAAAGTACCAAATTTATTATAAAAATGAAAGTAGATGAAGAGACTGAATCCGTTAACAAAATTAAGGGTCATTTTCTACGGTATTTTAATTGACGGCGTTATTAGGAGGGACCACATATTCGTTATAAAAACGAAACTATAAGAACGTACTTCGTTAAAAAGTCTCCGCAGGGACTTTACTAGTTAATTTATGTAAACTACAAGACCGGATTTACATTTAGCTCTTTTTCTTATTAAATTAGAAAGTTAACGATTTAATTTCATCGTTATTTTTCTTTCAATTATGGGTTTTCGACTTTCGATTGTATATCAACGAAGTTCGAGACTATTGTCCTTAGCGATTTCCATGAAATTAAAAACCAATATACCATATGAATTTGTTAAACGTTGGAACATATTCAGATCGAAATACGTGTTTTCTTAGTTCTATGTATGATTAATTATAAAATACGTAGTCAATATCAGTTGTGTATTAGAGTTTTTTATTTTATTTTAACTCATATTAATTGAAATATAGATGTAAGGAGTCCGTTACAGATGCTATAACAACTCAGAAATAAATGTAACCGATCTGTCCATTCTTTTAACAACCCAAAAATAAATGTAATCTGTCCATCCTTTTAACAACCCAAAAATAAAGTAGTCCCTATAGTTTGGTGGTTTTTATGAAAATGGTCTATGTACTTCATTTATTACATATTAGAACTCGTCGTATGTCGATTTGTAACGGATCGGTCCCTTCCTCTAATGGTCATACAATTCCTTTGTTAACCTTGATCGATGACACTTTCATCCTTTTTTTTTTGTCTTTACTCGAAGGATCAATTTCGTAAACCACATAAACTATAAGGACCAAATCTGTAATTAAGTCTAGAAAATAAAATAAAATTATTAGTTTTATTATACTTGAAGTTTATTAAATTAATTAATTATTATAATTTAAGTTTAATTTTAATATATAATATAGTTTCTTTCAAGAAAAACATATGAATTAATTATAGATATTATAGGTGACATATGATGAAAATTATGAATTTTTTTTTTTTATCAAAAATGTATCCAATTTTTTTATATAAAACTTTATATAAATATATCAATTTCTTATATAAATATATCAATTTCTTGTTTTTTTAAAGAAAAATAATATAAAAATGGAAAATGCCCAAAATACCCCTCCTCATGGGATGCCATACAAGTGTCATAAATGCTTTTCATATGATCATAGTATAATAACATCATTTGACTTGATGTTATTTAAGTATACTATGGTAATTAAGTCGGTACAATTTGATGCTAGTCATGGGTGTGTGATACTAAACCTATGATTTGTCCCGGTGCCTCTAGGCCCTTGTTGGAATTAGATTGAAGAAATACATGCTTGCTTAGGCAGATGATAAGTGACATCGGGATTCATTATTTATTAAATCCGTGCGGATATCAGAAAGAAAATATTGGATTTAACGAGAATGACACATACCATGTCTCATGCTAGCACTTAAACATAAAAGATTTCCTCACCAATTGTTTGAAGATTATTGGATTCAACGTGTTCACATGGATACCACGATGGCACCAGGGGTTAAACCATTTAGTGGATTTTGGATTCAACTCTACATCAAAGGGTCCTGCTTGTAAAAGGTTCAACTTTTATAAACCGAACTACCCAGTTCCATATGAACCTAGTTAGGTTGTGTTTAATTCCGCTATGTATAAGACCCCATAACCGAGGCATGTATAAAAGCTACTTACGGAATTCTAGTTTGGTCAATGTGTTTTGCATGTTTTAATTCACTAGATACTTAAAAATGCAACCTTTATTATTTCAGATTATCATATAAACCTTATGTTAAATTTTGTGGTTTCAATGCAATCAAAATCATCGACTACATCAACTAGAATTCTTATCTAAACCTACTCTCAATTTCGACTTCGATTTCTTCCCAAATAATGTTTGTTCCTCAAAGCATAGAAATAAAATACGTTTTATAGCCACTGCCTATAGATTTGATAATATTTACCATTAATACAAATTTGTGTTAACCAAAATAGGATTAATATATGTTGGTCATTGGCATCACTTTTAGATTTTGAGCCCTAAGAAAGAACACGAGCGGATGCCATGGGAACAAATGAACTAACAGTAATATTGTATCGATCGTTTGTTGAAGCTTCTTTCGAGATAACTCCTAGCTCAGTAACGAAGGGAGTTTTGTAAAAGCAACATGAAGAATTGCTCAGATACCAGTGAGTGAGGCCTATTTGGGTCGTGTTATAAATGCCCTGGCTAAACCACAAGCTGCTGAACTTGGTAATATTTCAAAAAGACTGATTGATCAAAAGTAACATGTCAGGTATGTATCCCTTTTTGGTTGATCAGATTCTAGATTTGGTAACCCTTAATTCCATATGTATAGTCGAAAAGTGATCCTTTGATGGTTCTCGTATCCAACTTATCTTGTCTTGTAAGATACACATAAACCTGATAACCATATACACATATGTATTTCCATCAAATGCTTCATTTTCCCCTCCAAACTTCTTTCATAATTTCCCTTCAATTGTCTAAGAGGGTAACTAGTTGATAATGTGCACTACGGTGCTAAGTGCTTCGACTCAGAATGTCTTGGGAAAACCATTGTTGATAACATTGATCAAGCCTTTTTCCTATCAAATTCACATTCGTTCGTTTAACGGTTCCGTTCGACAAGAATTGCGACATGTCATAAATTGATGATGAAAATCTTCCTTCAAACATAAGTCTTTGAAGTCATCGATGGTGTATTAACCACCATTGTTATATTGTATCACCTTCAATTTTTTGTCCATCTTGACCTCAACATGTGCTAACCATGTTTTTAGTGATTCGACTTCAATTTCAACACAAATGTCTATGTGAATATAACCAATAATACATCTGAGGTTGTGTTTTCCAACCCCAGATGCGAGTCAAGTTAGATTGCCTTTTCCATACTCTATATAGAAATCTAGGCTCGCGGGTTTGTCGACCCCGGTAAGTTTATACTTGCCAAGAACCTCAAAGTTTTTCTTTGAAGTGTGACCAATATTAGATGCCATAAATGAGTAGCATTTAGGGGAGACGCAAGATCCCATCTTAAATTCGAATCTTATAGCTAAGCTTCAACAATTGTCCAACCAAAATCAAAGAACTTGTGCTTATGGGTATGTACTTGACGTTTTGAATATCCTGAAACACCCTTCAAATATATCACTGAATGAACATCATTCTTTTTAAGTGCTTCTTTCATGGTCGAGTGACATTTCCCAAATTTTGCTCTCCATTAGAGATTTGAATTGTAATACCAGCTCCCGACATGTTATGGAACCTTTATAATAGACTATAGGCAGATTGGCATTGAAAAGACGGTTATCTGCTTGATCAGGTCAAACACTTGGTGTACAATGCTAACAACATTACTAAGAATCTAGATCAACAAGCTCTAATAGCAATTGTAGGGTCGGAATTCACAAATAACACAATGGAAATGATTCCAATGTCTCAAACAAACAAGTGAAATCCAAGTATGAATCGAACATAAACAACGAATGTGGATAAACTAGATCTAGATGATGCAAACAATATCTAATCACAAGTAATAATGAACAATGTTAAAAAAAAATGCAAACAATCATGAACAATCCAATTACGAGATGGCACAGAAATGGAAACAACGAGATTTAATGTGGTTCCACTATCTGGAAGATAGTGTACTTCCATAGGGAGAGAGATAATGATTGTATTATAATCACGGGGAGCTTACAACGTACTTAGAAGATCTAAAATGTTCAAAATCAGCCAAGCAAAGTCTCTATTCTATAAGCTTTCTATTTTTTATTTCGAAAAGGTAACTGCGATTTGAGTTAAGGAGCCAATAAGACATATCTAATGAAACCCTTTAAACCACACTTCACGTTACGCCACACACCCTAGTCTATGTGACCATATGTCATGTGCCATTACTCGCATAGAATAAAAGGGGATTTGAGCATTAATCTAGCACACCATAGAGCGTGGATAAAAATGCAATCCCAGATCAATTACGCGATTTCTCTTAACAAATACTTGACAAGATTCCGTGCATAAAAGACTTCAAGTTTTATTAACCAAGTTATCTCTCCTGTCTTTTCCAGATTTTAGTAATTACAGAAAACAAAAGAAAAAACCCACAAAACAAGGGTTTTTTTTTGTATGATTTACATGATAGACTGAAGTCATCTCATCACATGGGTATCATAAACCACAAAAATCCATCGTTGGCCATAAAACGTCATCTATCAGGATAACATCATGACCATAAGATGAAGAGACAAATTTGTTTGTAGAATCCATCAGTGCCATAAAAAAATCATCTTCCATACTCCAAAAATCTCCGACTGGATCTCCATTTGGCGGTTGTGATGAGCAGCCATTTGAAGCCATATGTTCCAAGCTGTTTGATGATGATTGTTGGTTGTTAGCATTAGATGATGAATCTGAACATAGAACTGCAGTTAAGATTTCCACTTCGTCTCTATATTCTTTTTCAGAAACTTGTGGGACACCTTTTTCTTTACTGCATTTTGGATTTTGTACGATTTCAGTTTCTGAATGTGAAACCGTACTACGTTGTTTACTGCGTTTCCTCAAATGCGTGTGCCAATAGTTCTTGATCTCATTGTCACTTCGTCCAGGTAATTTTGCAGCTATAGTTGCCCATCTGCAAATAACAGAACCCTTTAATGTCTAAGAGATGGTTCAGAACTTGAGTGTGTGTGTTTGTGTGTGTATATATATATATATATATATATAGAGAGAGAGAGAGAGAGAGAGAGAGAGAGAGAGAGAGAAAAGTCAAACATATATACAACTTCTCCCGACCATAATAGTCGTTAATCAGGACATACTTGTTACCAAGAATGTTGAGTGAGTTGATTATGATTTCTTCTTCTTCATCAGTGTAATTTCCCCTTTTTATATTCGGACGAAGATAATTCATCCATCTAAGCCTGCAACTTTTGCCGCATCTTGATAACCCTAATCATCGAAATAAACAACAAATTAACGAAAATGTCGTGAGAAAAGAATTCATAGCGACTAAAGAAAAGAAGGTTTCAAACCGGCTAACTTGGGAAGTTTGCGCCAATTCTTATGGCCATGTTCTTCGATGTACGCTCTCAACATGTTATCTTCATTTTCGCTCCATGCACCTTTTCTTACTCCATTTTTGTCCAAATATGGTGCCCTCACCATTTCTGTGCAACTATTCTCTCTAACTGTGCTGCTTGTGATGCCCCAATTCAGCCATGTCCACTCTTGTATTTATACAACCAGAAGAAACAGAAGAAACCAATCGTGTCTTAGATATAATACTTCCAAAACATACTCGTAGGTGAGTTTTGAAATTTAAAGAAGCATTTTTTATAGTTGAAATTAATATGAATATATTTTTTTAAAGACCAATTAATCCAATTAGTTTTTCCCATTGTCATTAAAGTTCATGTAATTGTTATTTTATGTCTGATTATAAATTAAAGAAACTTATAAAGATTATATCTTCAACCAAGTTGCATTTTTAAGACAAGTGGGGAAATGTATAATGTGATATATATGGTTTTAAATTGCAGAAATTTTAGAGATAATATATTTGTATGACTATAAATATCGTAATGAGACAAAAATGAGGAGGCTTGGTGATCCAGAAGGTTCAACAAATGTGACGATATTTGGATTTTATTAGGCAATGGGAAACCTTAGAACTTGTATCAATGTAAATGGCATTCAGGATTCAACTAATTAATATCAGTTGACAAGTTCAAACAATCTAGTTTGCCATATCTTTTTGTCTTGGTCATATACATATATACCATATAATGACATAAATAAATAAAGCCCTATATCTATGGCTTGAATTTAGGACGGTGATTAATGCATATTTGTTTTATTTCACATATAGTATATTCACAATGTGCACATTTTTACGGGTTCTTAAATGATTTGTTCCTATATGTATGTATGTATGTATGTATGTATGTATGTATGTATGTATGTATGCAGGGACGGATCCAGAAAAATTTTCAAACGGTGGTACCATATAATTAATATAGTATAATATACATTTAAAAATAATTATAAAAAATATGGTTTTTATAGTACCGATAGGGCTGTAAACGAATCGAACGTTCAGCGAACCGTTCGTGAACAGTTCGGCGGGAAGTTCGTTTATTTAATAAATGAACGAACATGAACTATTTTTTTGTTCGTTTAGTTAAACGAAMGAAYATGAACAAGAGTCTCGTTCGTTCATTTACCGTTCGTTTATGTTCGTTTATATTTGTTCGTTTATGTTCGTTTATATATTAAGTTTAATATATTATCTTTTATTTATTTACTTTGAATTCAAATAATATTTATTTATGTTCGTTTATGTTCGTTTAGCCCGTTCGTTTACGTTTGTTTAGCATGTTTACGAATGAACATAAACGAACACGAACACACCTTATTTCTAAACAAACGAACACGAACACAAAGATTTTTGTTCGTTTATGTTTGTTTAGCATGTTTACGAACGAACATAAACGAACACGAACACACCTTATTTCTAAACGTACGAACACGAACACAAAGATTTTCGTTCGTTTACGTTTGTTTAGCATGTTTAC